GTAGAAGATGAGTTATGCCGATCTATACTGGTTTTGGTACTATCAAGCCTTTCTAAAAAAAAACAAAAAGCGAGAGGCTTGTCTTCGAGGCCTGTCTGGCAAAGAAAGCTTTCCAACGATATAGAATTCGCCGAGAGGAAGACGTCCAAAATAAAAAGTGGCCTAGTTTTGCAACCCATTCTCTGGTGAATGGGTTGGGCCCCATTCACCAGGCCAATGGTGCTTTTATGCTCGTAATGCATTCCGCCGACTGACGGAACTGAGAAATCTGCTTCCAATCGACGATTCAGCTTTTAGGAGAGATGCTTTCAAGAGTGAGCTCTTGTATCCCCTTACAGCTTCTGAAGGACTTTTAGGTACGGGAACGGTCATTAGCAGCTAAAGGGACCCAGATTAAAAGTTAATTGCATGTTTTTCGTAAAGACGCAAAGCCAGGAGGATGATGAAATCACGTCCAAAAAATCCTCTCTTCGCCTGACATCAAAGACAGAGCCAGTTGAACGATATGAATTCCTCGTTTATTTAAGCAGAAAAACGATGGGGGACGTGTAATTAGAGAGGAATCTGCTTCAAGACTGATTCCTCTCAAATTGTGAGATTTATTATCCCTACAATCAGATTTCCTGTTCAGGTTCAGGTCTCACGTCACCTCGATGAGCAAAGTTTATTTCGATTGCTTCTACTACAGAAACTCTCTACGATGGCCTTCATTCACTGGCCATTTTATTTCTTTTTTATCCTTTTCCCGATCGGATCCATTGAAGCCCAAGGATGCAATATCGGGAGAGAGGAAGTCGCAATGGAATCTCCTCATCAGGTAATAATAGAATATAGATAATAATAGAATTATATAAAATAATAGAGAATTCTAGGGATGTGTCGATGTATCGCCAACCAGCTGTATCGGCCGCCAGTGTGGCACCATCGGTCATAGGGTTGCAAGCTGCCGGTGCCAACGTCTAACAAAAAAAAAACTTGCGGAAGAAAAAGAACAACGTAAATGGAGCTTGGTAACCGATTCTCAACGGCAATGGGAAAAAATTAGGGCAGTCTCAATGCATCCATCCATATATGGCTGTCACTTTCGACAGTTTGGAGGCATGGCAGGCTTTATCACCCGTCGCAAAGGCCAAACCTTTCCCATCTTTCCCCTCTCCGCCCCCCTCCCCCTTTCCGCACTCCCCCATCAAAGGCAAGAGATTATGGAAGACGGATATAGCTCCGCGCCCCAATCGAGGCAAGAAACGACGGGAGTGAAACTTTTACCGATTGCGGCGAGAAAAGACTGAATCCACCCAACCCCCACCCTCCGGGTGCAACGATACACTATCGATATTTCAGGTCGATTCACCGATGCGTTCGAAACACTCAACGTGGCAGCTCTAGTAAAATTGAACTTGGATTCCTAGTAGGTTTATTTGAATTTTAATACATTTTTAAAAATGATTCTTACTGTTCCTCTACACGTCACAGTAGGCACGGGTACTGGCCAATAAGGGTGAGAATATAATCGGTCATTGGCCCAGTGGCTTAATGAGGCCATCGGTACGGTCTTAGAATTCCCTTGTGCACTCCTATTAATGAGATTTTTACTTCCTTTTTTTTTACCAGTGAGTGTAAATGTAGAGAAAATGAAACCGTTTAAAGAATGTGCCGATGTGACCTTAAAACGTTAAAAGAAGTAAAAAAAGAAGACACGTGTTCTCTTTGACTGTAATTCGGCGACATAATACCAAGTCAGACCAAGTCAAACTTTCTTTTCCCCCCAGTATCCATATTGATTCCCGCGTTCATTCACTGCGATAAATTAAACTCTTTAAACTAGTTTCAGTTGGGATTGAGAGGGCACAGTCTTTCTAGGAAATATATTATTTGATAACCTAGGAATCAGATCCTCCCTCCTGGGGATGCAAAGAGCACAATTGCATCAGTCCCCTGTCTAGTCTCACACCGTATCATTGAATTATTTGGTAGAATCATCATCGCATAAGTGCATTATGTTATTATATCACTACCGCGTCATTGCATTATACGGTAGCAAGGCAGAATGTTTGAAAAGATGAAACCGTTGAGCATAGAAGTGCCTACCGGAGCACCGTCAGCTTTAATGAGCCGACATTTTCATGGTTCAGCAAAAACTCGTACCCGAATTCTTTTATCATGAAAAAATATGAAAGGAAAATTCGAAGAGACCTCCTCGTTCGTGCGTCCGTAGTACGGTTGTTTGCCGTAGGAGAAAATTTCCCAAAGGAGAACACCGTAAGACCAGACGTCGGACTTGAGGGTGAATTTCCCATACATGATGCTCTCGGGTGCCATCCATCTCACTGGGAGCAACCGATTCCCTTCCACCTACAACAATTACCCACCAGTCATCACTCCACGCGAGGATAAGGATCAATAGGAAAGAGGAGGAGAAGCAAACCTTGTAAGCTCTCGGGTGCCATCCATCTCACAGGGAGCAACCGATTCCCTTCCACCTACAACAATTACCCACCAGTCATCACTCCACGCGAGGATAAGGATCAATAGGAAAGAGGAGGAGAAGCAAACCTTGTAGTAATCACATGTATAGATGTCTCTGGCGACTGGCTTCAGACTCTAGAAGTGCTGCTCTGGAAGCAGGTGCTGCGTTAAGGCTGTACGGTCCAGAGCTACGTGTTTCACGAAAGGGCTGTCCATGAGGTAGGGAAGGCTCTAAACCACTGACTTTAAGTGCAGCTGCTCCTAAAGAAAAGTTGAAAGCAAAAAAATATCACTCGAACGAACTCGGCGAAATTTAGTGAAGTTGTTGAATGTCAAACGTGATCAGGGTTTCAAGACGACTGGAATATTTCTCACATGGTTCAACATTTCCTCATTAGGGTTTTTGAGGGTGCGCATCTTCAGATAGGGCGAATAGGATCGGAGAAATTCGGCAAGGTCCCCCATGGGCATGAATTTAAACACCATCCACGGCAAGCCATTCTCTGAAGAAGTCAAATTTGTTACACACCCGAATTCCTTTGAAATCCGATTTTAAAAAAAGTTGGTAAACGAAATAAGACATTAACCAAGAGAAAGTTTTCCTTAGAAAGTCGCATCCATCTCCTTTTCATACGCTCCACTTACCCCCAAAGGACTATCACTGGAGCCGTTGTGACAGCAACTGCTTTCCACAGAAAAAATATCCCGTCCGTGGAAAATATTGCGTTAATGTCATACTCCTCCTGAAAGGTATTATTTTTTAAGACAAACACCATTATATCCACGGCGTTGACGTTTTACCTCAGTATTATCAACCCATCTATTTCCTTACAAACGCGCAACAGCAATAGAAACAGGACGCATCGTAGAAAACATGGAATGGATTTGTCCTTTAGTAAGTCCTTTATATTATGCAGGTGGGCAGTTCCACGCTACGGTCAACCTTGAGGTCGAAATAAAAACAGCGTAAATATCGCATACTATGAGCATAAACTGAAAGATAGATATCAACGGCATATGATTGAACAATTATAGTGTTAAAATAGTCATATTTCCGGAACGGAACAGGTGGGGACTTCTGGTTGCTGGTGGAAAGGTCGCATATTTCCTCCGATTAAAGCTCACTTCCCCGGGCGTCCTCGAGTGGGCAGGCCCCCTAGGGTCATGAGGCCATCATTGACAGGGCCCGATGTCCTTTAAAGCTCTGGGCCAGGACACTTCCATATTGTATTTCCTATCGTATTTCCATACGATAACGATCATCAAAATATGATGCAGACATGGCTGAAATATCTAAAAAGTATAGTCAGCCCTCAATATACCGTCACCACGGTAATTCCTCATTTTTTCCAGAGAAAAAATTCCCGTGTAAACTACTGTAATTACAGGTGATCCCCCGAACTCCATTATAGACTAATTATAATGTCCCCCCCCCCAGTCGCAATCCACCAACGCAATCCGCTAATGCATACGAACGTATGTTTTTCCACGTAAGTCCTCATCGATTTTGCAGAGTTGAATGCCAGCCGCAATCCTTGTCCTCCAGCTCGGCTAAACACTCCTTGATGACTGTCCACCCGATCGCGTGACAGAGACCGAAACCGTGATAGATGACCCGTACTTGCTGAATGGATCGGAAAGAGCAGGGCTGTCGATCGATTAAAAAATGTAATAGATTAATCGCGATCTATTTTATCGATTAATCGGTCGATTAATCGAATTTTAATCTATTCCTTAGTTCCTCCTTGAATCATTCCCAAGGCGTTGGGCATGATTCTGCTTGGGTCGTGTCCATCACCTAGGCGAGCCTCAGGAAGTGACTCAAGGCGATGCAGTCGCTAACATAGAAGTTACCATCCATACATACACTATTTACCTACATGTGAAGCATTCCAATCGGAGAGAGAATAATTACTACGTAGCCAGATGAATAATGAAACGTAAGCATAGAAGCGCATTGAGGCCCATTGCCATTTAGTCAACCTATGCTGGAAGGATGCAAAAAATGTAACCTAAATGATTGAAGGTATACAGTGACACTTCATTACACGGAGATTTAAATATTCATTATCGATTCACGGGCAACACAGGATGGAAGAGCAAAAAAGAAAGGAATAGGAGAGGCTTTTACACTTTCGTTTCCCCTGGGCTTCTCTCGCCTGCTCCTAGCTTTCCCCCTCTCCTGGTTACTTCTCGGGGGCTCCCACAGACCTTCGCTGGCGCACTTAAACGTACGCCTCTCACTCCCCAGTCTTTACGTTATACTCTTTCCCGCCTACCCTGCACAGCGTCCCTATCTAAATCCCCTATTACGAATTTCTTTTCTCCATTCGCATCGACTTTTCGGTCGCTCTAGGCCGCTGCTACCCATGTATCTTGGCTGCTACCTTCGCTATACGCGCGAGGCCTGCATGGCTATACGGCAGTGGTCGGCAACTAAATTTCAAGGCAGACCGGATGGTAGGATGCTGAACGTTCTCGAGCCATCACCTACCAAGTGTCATTCAAATGAGAATTTTATCGAACGTCTCAGGTCAAACGTGCTGCTGAACGTCTATTGTCAGACCGTAATGCCCGATACCCGAGTCTTCGCGGGCCAGAGGGAGGGCTTCCGCGGGCCGCCAGTTGCCGACCACTGCTATACGGAATTCCAGTGGAGTAGGCAGGAAATCGGCAAGGGGGGGTTGAGGCCAGGTAGACACTCCAACCTTACGCTTAGCTTTACTACCTGGAATTTACCTTTTCGAAGAAATCGTGGTCTGGCATCTTGGGTCTGTGGACGGACATTGGACATTCCTCGAAGGGGATAACTAAAATTGAGATTCTCAAGGAAGATATGCCTGTCAGTGTCACTGACCGGGAAGCCCAAGGGGGGGAGAGTTCTTCCCCCCGAAACACCCCCCCCCCCCCTTCCCTTAGTCGAGAATGCTCGGATCCCCCACTTAGATATCTCTATGAGCTCTCTACATTGACATCCGGTGGATTGATTCTTTTAGTCATTGTTGCTCATGAAAATGGAAAATGCTTCATACAGCCGCCGCGAGAGATTGTAAAAGTACACTGACTGGCGCTGCATGTGTCTCTTCATGGGCTTGGGCTTACACAAGCGAGTACAATAGCGTGAAAGGTGCTCACGTGGGAGATCCTTTCCATATACGACCAACGCCCGTGAAAGTACTTCTAGATTATACGGTTCTTTATTTTCACGAGAATGTATTGAGTCGATCGGAAAGTTCTGGCTGTTTCGAGAATTTTCCAGGAAAAAATTTTCTGGAACTTTCTCGAACCTTCCACAGTAGCAGTATATAAAGGGTGTGTGGGCGTGATTACGCAGAAGTTGCTTAGTCGTTCAAAGCCTATAACCATGACTTCCAAAATCGACTTTAACAAGACCGCCCAATATCAGTGCCTTCTTTACGACTTCCTATCTGGCATCACAACAGCCGAATCGAGTCGCCGCATCTGCGCCGCGTTTGGCCAAGGTGCAGTTTATGAAAGGACAGCGCGGCGATGGTTCGATCGTTTCCGGTCTGGAAATTACAGCCTCGAGGATGAGCCCAGGTCAGGCCGCCCATCGACGACGAGCAGTTGCAGCACACGGTGGAAGCCGATCTGAGACAAAATACCCGCGACTTAGCGACAGCACTTGGCTGCGCCCAGTCCACGATCGTGACGCACCTGGCTGCAATCGGCAAGAGCAAGTTGGGTCAGTGGGTACCCCACACAGCGCGACGATGGTTCGATCGTTTCCGGTCTGGAAATGACAGCCTCGAGGATGAGTCCACGTCAGGCCGCCCATCTGAAATCGACGATGAACAGTTGCAGCACAGTGGAAGCCGATCCGAGGCAAAGTACCCGCGACTTAGCGACAGCACTTGGCTGCGCCCAGTCCACGATCGTGACGCACATGGCTGCAATCGGCAAGAAGAGCAAGTTGGGTCAGTGAGTACCCTACGATCTGACCGAGCGCGACCGCGAACGCCGTGCTGAGGTGTGCACTTCACTGCTGTCGTACGAGCGCACAAACGACTGGCTGGATTTCGTAGTCACTGGAGACGAAAATTGGATGCTGTACGTCAACTACCGACGCAGGCGCCAGTGGGTCGATGCCGATGCCCAGCCAGAGCTGGAGCCGAAAGGTGACCTGCACCCCCGAAAAGTCATGTTGTGCATTTGGTGGGACGTGCAAGGCGCAAAAGGCGTGATCGAATTCGAGCTGCTCCCACCCGATACCAGCATCACCTACTACTGCGATCGGCTGCAGAAGCTCGCCGACAAACTCCGCACGGTGAGGCCAGGGCACCGTCATGTTCGATTCCTGCACGACAACGCAAGGCCGCATGTCGCGAAGATCACACGGCAGAAATTGCTGGATCTGGGCTGGGAGGTTCTGCCTGTAAAGCCCAGATCTGGCGCCAACCGACTACTATATCTTCCGCGCTCTGGACGACCATCTTCGCCAGAAAAGGTTCAACGATGACGCAGAGGTCGAAAACTGGCTGACTCATTTTTTCGACTCACAGCCAGCTCAGTTCTACAGGGATGGAATCAGGAGTCTGCCTGATCGTTGGCAGAAGGTGATTGACTGTGATGGCAATTACTCCGTTGAGTGAACTTTTTTGCTTTTTTAGAAAACTCAGTTGTATGGAATGTTCTTGAAACGGCCAGAACTTTTCAATCGACCCAATACAAAAACATTGAGTAGCACTCTACAGCGAGTAACATCATGCCAATACTTGCACGTGTCAATCGGCCCTTAGGCATTTTCGACATTTGAGTTTTAAAATTTCAGATTCGTCTTCCCATGATCCCGAGTCGACATGCAAAATATTGTTACGGAGGGGAAAGTGGGAGACGGACGATGGAAGGCATGAGAGGACGAAAGCAGCCAAGGAACGGCCGGGAATTGAACCCGGGCCTCCTGATTGCCGGTCAGGTGTGCTACCACTACACCACCGAACCCCGGACATTCAGACATGCCTCTCGATGCCATCCTCATCCGTCACAATATTGTGGGCATTGGACCTCAGGTTTCCTCTACACAACCTATTCGATACAAGCATGATCTGACTTTTTCCATTATTTTGGTTCCCCTTTTGCACATCCAAGGTCGAGGTGCATATAATTCCTTTTGCCTAATTATCAACGCCTTTCACTACACAAACATTCAAGGAAATCCATCTCGAACTTGGGTCTAACTACATTCAGCACAAGGTATTCACACAAAAAACTAAACACCAACTTCTTGTTGAATCCCCTTTAACCTTCTTAGGTTGAGGGCTACAATCTTCATCTTTCCGGGAAGTCTTTTTTAGACTATAATACTTCCAGAAACAGACAGAAAGAAAAGACAATACCTGGGAGGACAACGCCGGTAAGAGCAAGAATGTTCTTGTGGTCGAAGGAGGAGGCAGTGGCGACCTCGCGAAGGAAATCGTTGATTGCTTCCTTGGTCACCCGGTCCTTTAAGACCTTCACTGCCACTGTCATCCCCTCACCCTCTCGAGGCCGGTACTCACCTGTCATCATATCAATAAAAGGAGCTTTGGTTGCAGTATTTTTTTTTCTGTGTACAGGGGTTGGTTGCATAAACTTTAGGCTTTACGGAATTTTGGGGGAAATATATTCTCCGTCGAGAAAAGGTTCTGGATTTGACGCGCATGCGTACAAAGAGCAACGATTGGATTGCTTTTAGAAGGTCTTCACAACCTCAATGATATCAGGACGATATGAAAGAGTTTGCATTACTGCTAGCTGTGAAGCTGGCGGCAGGGAGACCCATATAACATCCCCTTGTGATGCGCCATCTTGTATTTGCGTGATTCTGCCATCTCTGACTTGTGGAAAAAGTTCATTCTTTGAAGTTAAGCCAGGGACATCAATAAGTATTTCCTCCAATCATAACGTACCTTGTCAAGGTCGAGCTTTATGAAAAAAGCGGATAGGCCTACCTCCCTAAAGATATGCCGGACGTTTCAAAAGTCACGCACTCTGTTCAGACAACCACACGAAGCATACCGACGGCCATGGTCAAATCTCCATGGTCAAATTAATTGAAAATTAATTTGACCATGGAGAAGGCAATGCACGTTGTGACATCACATAAGTACAGGTATAAATGCCATCGTCGTAACACCTGGAGCGGTTTTCAACGAGCCGATAAAATGGTTGGGCAGTCTTCATGCAAGATGTTCCTCCCCAGATTGCAAACCGAGTGAAACGAGTCCCCCTGGCCACTTTCGGAGACAATGGGATCACCCGACACCTTGAATCACTTTGACACTCTGAACTTTTGAACTTCAATCCTGGCCTGCAAGATCGCCTGACCTCATCCCGGCAGACTTCGGGCTTAGGGGTTATACGACCAATTGAAATCGCATTGAACATCTATGAACACATTCCGTTGACATCACGAAAATTAGTGCATTGCCTTCCCTATTCCCTTTCCCTCCCCCTTTGGTCTATAGGCAAGTTTTCACAACACTGTAGCCATCGGTATGCATGGTGTGGTCGTCCAAACATAGTGCGTGACTTTTGAAACGCCCCAGTATATTGTTCTTTTCTTGCCAATTTATTTTTTTTTTCCACGAAGGTATCGAACCCTCTTCTTAAAGCTAGTCACGAAAGGGACAACCACTTAACATCACCTGATGGTTTCCTCGTATTCGCAACATTACGAAAAAAAAGGGATTTTACAACCTGAGACTCACTCGGGACTTCCCCAACTCGAACTGGTTCACCCTCCTTCTTTTGCTACCATCGAGAGGAAAAATCTACCCCGCTTCACGCTATCGATGTTCTCAATTAATTTAAATCCCTGAATGAAGCCCCCTCCATTAACCTTTCCAGAGAATGGAGTCCCATTCCATCCGAACGCCTTTCACATTTTAAAGTCCTTGCGCTTCCTTTATCACTTCAGCAGTCTGGCTCTGAAACCTCTCCAGCGCCGCTAAATCAGATTAACTTCGAGGTCACCAACGTTGAACACAATACACTGAATGGGGTATTATCTAACGCTGCACACAAACAAGCGAGCTCTTCTTGGCAATGGAATGCCGGATTGTCAATCGTATGCCGGTCTCCGCCATACAATTGCCAATCAATTGTCTAAGTTAAAAAAAATTCTATTTCGCTTCATGGAACGGAATCAGATTATGAATAGGCGTCGGATTGCGAATGACGAGTCAAAAGATGTATCTGATTGGAAAGAAAGTTCTCGGAATTTCATGGACAATTATTACAACCCAGTTTATTTAAAAGCAAAATCATCTCAATCATGAATGTAATCACCATTGGCCTCTATCACTTCACGCCAACGTTTATGCAAACTATGGATGCCATTCCAATAGAACTCTGGCGGCTGCGCTACGAAAAAGTTGGCCAAATCGGTTTTCAGGTCGTCTCGGTTGGCGTACTGCTTTCCACCC